TCCTGCAGAGGCTGGGGAGAAGCTGCAGCCAGGCCAGGCTGGGAAACAGCCCTGCAGGCCAGGAAAGCAACAGTGGGGCAGCGAGGCTGCCATGGATCCACTTCCTGCTGTGCAAAGAAAGCCCCTGGCTGCTGAGTCTCAGGAGAAGGCTGAGGGACATGGACCCACCTTGTCCTCCCTGCAGCATTTCCTTCAGCATTTGCGGAGTGATTTTGGATGGCACATGGGGTTTCTGGTGTCCTGCAGCTTTGTTCTTTCCACTTGGAGGACCTTAAGTGAAAATAGTTCCCCTTTGCAGGAATGGATCCCAGAAAACCAGTGCTCAGCCTGTGGGGTCAGGAGGGACACACCACTCACCCCTGCGATGGGAGCCGGGCTTGCGTACAGTTACCAACCCAGGAGCTGGGAAAGTCCTCCCTGCAGGCACACCTGTAACTCAACAGCCACAGAAGCTTCTGTCACCTCTGCTCATCTGCACAGGCAGCACTGAGCCATGGGAGAGGTGAGGGGATAGCACAGGACGGGGGCACACACGTGCACGGCTCTGTCCTGACACCTGCAGCGATGCTGCCCTGGCTGAGCTTTGGGCTCTGAGCTGGCAGCTCTCCCAGGGGGAAAGGCCTTCACCTACCCTCGCCATCTCCCAGAGCCTCAGTCCTGGATGTGGGTTGGGAAGCCAGATCACCTTCACCAAGAGGCTTGGCTGCAAGGAAAGGCAGGACAGAAGAGCTCCTGTGGATCTGTAGGAGATCCTCAGGCTCCCTGGGGCTGGCAAAGGAGCCGCGAAAGGCAAAGCCCTGGGCACAGCCCCTTCCCTCTCTGCTCCTCTCCATGGCTGCACAGAGCACATGGAAGGAGACACTGGCATTGCACACAGGTAGAAGATTGACAGCTAAATGCTCCTTCCTCCCACTGACAGCGATGCTGTGGGATTACTCAAGGCTCCAGAAGGGAGCAGGGAAAAATTTCCAGAATCCTTCAACCCTCACACGACCTTAACGCAAACGGCACTTAAGTGAGCACTTTCCACCTTGACAGATTATTCTGTCAGTACAAGTGGCAATTCAGAACTTACCTCCAGCATTCTCCGAGATTTTCAAAGTCTCATTCACCAGCAATCCCAAATAATTCAAGTCATGATCCCAATCTAGAAAGAAGCACAGATCAGAACCATGGCCATGGTGCACTGGGATCCCCTTCTGCCTTAGGGAACTGGGCACTGCGAGGGGTTTGGGTAAGGCTGTGGGAGCCAGATGTCAATGGACATGGCCAGAGCTGCAGAGGGGCCTGGGGAGCTCTGGGCTGGCTCTGGTCACTCTCCACCCTCTTTGCAAGCCCTGTGCAACATCCCTGCAGAGGCAGCAGGACCAGCCCAGGGCCCCTGGGGACTCTCTCCCTCTCACAGAGGAAAGCCTCCCTAAA